GTAAATAGTCATTTTTTTGCCCCTTGTTTTCATGTCCACATTATTTCTAATTATTCTAGGATAGGAGTCCTAGAAAACCTGTGTCTCTCTGCTTATGTAATGAATTGAAAGCTAAGCATGTATGATTGACTGATATCATAACATTGCCTAATAAGAAGCAAAATAAGGCCTAGCTGAGGAACCTAATAGTTTTCTAAAGTTATTTAATATGATACCACTAGGTGCCATCTACTAAGAAGGAAAAACAGAAAAACAAAAGCTTATTGTTAAGATGTGTAACTTGTTCTTCAGTGAAGGAGGTTTGTGTATATAATTGAGTTTAGTTGTTTTTGTTTATAGAGCTCCTGTAATTTCCTTGTGCCAGATTCTGATTCAAGAGAAAAATACCAAAGTGCTTTAGGCAACAGCTGTTCTAGCCCTTCAGGGTGGTAATTCTGAGCCCAGGGTTGTGCTCACGCATGTCATGAAATGTGCTGTTTGACTATAAAACCCTGTATTCTTTCCCAGGGCTATTATAGTGACTGTCCTTATTAAAAAAAGTGTTAATTATCAAGTCTGTTTAACAAATATCCCAAAGGAGAAAATAACCCATGTGACCTCGTGTGCAGTTTATGAAGTCTTTTCTGAAGTATTTCTATGATCTGATTTTTAATTATTGAACATATTTGTAGATCTCACTCAAATAAAAAGAAGAGCAATACTCTGGGTAGTCTGTGTATTTCCAGTGAGTAGCAGGGATGCTGGTCAGCTGTGAACTAACACTTAATCACCCATAAAGAGATGATATGGCCGTAGCTTAAACATTTGTACCCATCCCTGCTTTTCTTTTTCATTTTTCTACCATTTGGGAGAAGTGGGCTAATATTAAGTAAAAATAAATAATACTAAAAAATGTAATTTGTAATACAGTAATGATCAGGATTCACTTTATCTCATTTGAAACTATAAAATTGGCCATTATCAAAACTGCATTTTGGTAATGAAAAAATAATAAACTGAATATGGAATCACAGAGATTCCAGGTGTTGTAAGCTATTTTAACTGTGTCTATGATAGCGCAGAAATAACAGGATGATAGGGAAAAGTCACACTTGTCAGGTATTTATTTCTGTATTGAGAAGAATCTGTACTATATATATAAATGTAGCATGTATAGCAATGGGAAAAGAAACAGAAGATAAGAAAAATAACATTCTTACTAATAAATGTAAGATTTAATGTAAGATTTTTAGTAATGTAAGATTTTTAGTCAGATTTTCTATTCTGTAAGAACAGGAATGTTGCTGATGATGTTTGTTTCAGTATATTTGAATCATGATGTCAGTGATGATGATGATGAGACTGATGATAAAGGCACGTGTCAGTGCTGAGCGAGTGAGGGGAATGGACATCTAGAAGAAGGCTTGCTCCATGTGATTGTACACATCACTGAACATGTCACCAAGCCCCTAGTCTCCAGCCTACCTCTTCAGAGCCATTGCTTGACATTTCCTCTGAAAACTATTTTCCTATAGACCATATTCAATCTTAAAAAGTTTTTATCCCATATTCATTTTGTACTCCTGTAAATGTTTTCCCCCACTGCTTTGAATGTCTTTTCTTCTCCTAGCATACGGTTTCTCATTCAGCTTTTGAAATTTTGTTCAAAGCATATTCTGTCAGTGAAGCCTTGGTTCTGGTACCCCCTTAGACACAGAAAGGCTGGCAGCTGTACCTGCTTCCCTAGAGACTTCTGTCTCCTTGTGGGTGAGGGCCCTCCCGGAGGGCCAGCTGTCTTTATACAGAGTGGGACCTGACATGTGGATGAGTGAATGAGAGATAAAACAAAACAAAGGAAAATCCTAGTATTAATGTTAATTGCTAGCTCTTTCATTACATTCTGTTAAACTGAAACTTGTCACATTGACTGTATAAATTTATTTAATAGTGATCAAGATGTATATTTCACACAACTCTGTAAAATAGGGTAAACAGCGGGCCCCCTTATTTGGCAGCAGGGTTTTATTCAGCTTCCACTTGTTTCGTTGCTTATTTGCCATGCAGTGAGGCTGTCAGGCTCTTATTTTTTTTCCAGAAATTTGACACATATCCATTTTTTAAAAGATTTATTTATTTATGCATACAGGAACTGGGGTACAGGCCAGAGGTGCAGGGAGTGAGAGGATTCACCTGAGACAGAGTGGGGAACTGAACAGGCAGACTGTCTGAAATACACTGCTGAGGGGAGCAGCAGGCTGACCGGGGATCAAACTCGTGCTGCAGAGGCTGCAGATTGCTTAAAGTGCTGTGCTTAACCCCTTGTGCCACCAGGGAGGACCCTCTTATTGTTTATAAAGATGCTCAAGGAGGTACATTTATCTGCTCTTTTAGTCTAGGGTGCAGCTACTGAACTTTCCTCTATTGTTTAATTTTCTTAAGAGAAGATATGTCAAGGACCTCTTAATCTCAGTAAGTTTTGTTTTTTTTTTTTAAAGATTTTGGGACCCAGAGCTGAACAATTTCCCCTTATACATAAATTATTCATCAATATAAAAATCTTCATGTAAACATTAATGCTTCAGAACACAGAATGAACTTAGATTAAAGGCAATATAATATTTGTATTAGATGGAGGTTCTGCTGCAGATGAGAGAGGCCACACTTGACAAGAGAGAAATTTCTTTCTCTTTCATGTAGTTGTCTGTATGCAGAAAACCCAGATCAAGTATAATGAACCTGTTCTACATGGTTATTAGGAGTTTGGAATGACATCCCATGGTACTAGAGATCCAGGTGCCTACTTTTTCATTGCTTTGTATTTAAATTTTAGTATTTATTAATTCCTTTCTGTTTTATTTATTGATTGGTATAGAGTGATTGTCAACCATTTGTGCTTGACAAAAGTAGAAGTCATAGTTGATAGTATTTTATATGTTTGCATGACCAAGTAGTATTGACAATGAATATTTGGTTAATTCATTGCAAGTGCATATATTTGACAGAAGGATTGTGAACCCACAACTCTTGGCAAGACCTTTAAGTGATCAGCTGTGCAGCTCACCTTCTGCGGTGGGGTGGGAAGTAAGTACAGATCATGGTGGAAACCGAGGACAGAGGTTCATTCCCAGAGTGTGTGCATAGGAGCTTTATAGAAAGGAATGCAGTTGCATTGCCTTTGAAGGATATGTGCAGTTTCAATAACTGAAAATGGAGAGGGACAGAGATACATGGGGTGGTTTTGGGTTAAAGGTGGGAGTGGAAACTGGTTGTGGTGCACTAGCACTTCCAGATGATTTGTAACACCTACTTGCCTTAGGAATGAAGTTGGGGGAAGAATGTTCGTGAGTCAAGGGAGGGAGTGAGGGGTGTAGGTGTTAAATTTATCCTGTCGCTTTTTTTTTTTTTAATAAGATGATGAAGGCGAGTTTTATCTGGGATAATACCTTGACAAAATGTCATTGATTTGTTAATTTACATTATTCCAGTCACTTCTGTGAGCTCTACTAATCTTCAGCATCAGCACCTAGTAAAAATGATTCCTGTTCAGATGAGATTATTTTTGTATCTTTGAGTTAAGGCACGATAATGATGGGATCTATAAATGTGTGACTTTTGAAGGGCCTGCTTCTAAGAGCTTTCTGAAGTTAAAAGGTTGTGCTGTCCCATTTTATGTCACATTCTGCTGATCTATCACTTAAAGAAAGTTCCAATTCCTGATGAAGAGCAGAGCTCTGACATGATTTTTCACTTAGGTGTGCAGAAAGAATTGGATAGCTTTGTGCACAAAACAGGCTGAAATCAAGCTTTAATTAGCAGACTTTTGCATTATTCATCATGGTCACTTTGAAATCCAGCTAAATATGCTCTGGATTTTCATCATGAGGGGTTTATTTTAAAGTACTGGTTGTGGGCCTCCTTGGTGGCGCAAGGGGTTAAGATACAAGCTATGGATCTATTTGCAGCCACTGCAGCACAAGTTCAATCCCCAGCCAGGGAGCTACCCACATGGCACAGCAGACCTTTCCTGACTCACTTGCTGTTCCTCTCAGCAGTGTATTTCAGTCAATCTGCCTGTTCTGTTCCCCATTCTGTCTCTGGTGAAACCTTTCACCCTTTACACCTCTGGCCTGTACCCCAGTTCTTGTATGCATAAATAAATAAATCTTTTAAAAAAATAAAATACTGGTTGTATTTTATCAGTTTCTAAAACTATGACAGTGAGTAATATTCCATTGTGTATATGTACCACATCTTCTTGATCCAGTCATCTATTTTGGGGCATTTGGGTTGTTTCCATAGCTTACCTATTGTAAATGGTGCTGCTATAAACATAGGGGTGTAGGTGCCCTTTTGAATTAATGTTTCTGTGTCCTTTGGGTAAATACCTAGGAGTGGAATTGCATCGTAGGGAAGCTCCATCTCTAGCAGGTTGAGGAATCTCCACACAGCTTTCCATAGTGGTTGGACCACTGGAATATTACTCAGCGATGAAAAAGATAAACTCACACTATTTGCAGCAACATGGATGGAGCTGGAAGGGATCATGCTCAGCGAAATAACCCAGAAAGAAAAGAAAAATACCAGATGGCCTCACTCATAGCAGGAATTTAGAAAACCTAAATAAGGGACCAGGAAAAAGACTAATTATAATAAAGTAAAAACCAATATCAACAAACAACTATAAACCAAAGATGCACTGCAGTGGGGGGAGGAGGGAGTGGGATCAAAACAAGGGAGGGAGGGAATTATGTGGGGACTATAACCAAGATGAAAATGCATACATTTTGCAAAAATGAAAAATGATGTAAAAATATATAAATTTAAAAATAATAATAAAAATAAATTAAAAAAACTATGACATTGTACCTAGTCTCTAAAAAAATGAAGTATTATATAATGATCCATTAAAAATGAATCAATCCATTAAAATTTGTTATTAAATATAATTTTTGATGTCATTATAATTAGCTTTGTAGACAGGAAAATAAGCTAAGGCTCTTTCTGTCTTTTTGAATTCCTAGGCTGTCCATCTGGCCCAGGCAAGCTTCCAGATTGAGGCCTTTGGCTCCAAATTCATTCTTGACCTCACACTGAACAAGTAAGTATTTAGTCACAAACCTGTTTAGGAGCAAGTGCAAAAATCTTTACTTCTTTGGTACTGGTTTAGTCTAAATAATGACTGTTGTTGAAGCAACTGACATTTTCTAGCCAATTATGTATCATATAGCACTTAAAGACAAATATCAAAACCTGTACAATGAGTGTCTTTTTTCTTCAAGTAATGTTAATTAAATCTTAGCTATAATTAGTTATTACTATATGTAAGAGGCATGATAAATTAAGGACTTATGTAAAATTAGATTTCAGTCTAGAAATTTTTCCCATCTTATCTTTTATTCACAATTCACATACCTTTATAGATTAAGAACAAAGAAAGAGATGATTTGCTAACATCTATTTTGTAAAGGTTCTTTGCTTCATGATTTGCTCTAATGTATTTTCTTAGAAAATTTAGTCCTCATGAAAATTAACCTGATTTTTCTCTGAGTATGTTTATTTTGCTGAGTATGTTTATTTTGCATAACGTATGTGTTATGTTGATACTTAAATGCTATTTCCTATTAGTACAGATGTCCTTATATTGAACATGAACAAGAGCTGTTGACTTAAGCAGGGATCTTCGGCCTCCAATAGAGCTAGCAGTGAGCCTTTGGACAAGAGATTTCCTGTATGGTTTTCTTTAATTTAAGGAACTCTAGTTCCCTCATTTTATATTCTCATCAGTATTTTGACCAGGACTGCATCTTTACAAGAAAAACACCACATAATGCTACCAGACACTATAATGTAGGTGACTGCAGTCAATATTTGAGAAATTGCAAATGACTGTAAAGAACAGCTATTAAATTTTCTGTATACAAAATTCTATGAGCTCTGCAGAAACAAAATGCAGACTCAGCTTGTGCCTTACTCAAGTGTTATTGCGGTACTAAGTCAGAATGAATCAGCAGAACTCAGAATTTCCTGTGTTCAAGGTATTGCAGGTTTTCCTCTTTGAGTCTGCTGAGATTTGGTTGAGTTCCTTTTCCTCCTGCTGTGTCAGCAGTGTGCCCGCCTAAGAGATGTACCTTGCCAAATCTTAGAGTATGTTGAGCAGCAAGGTATGGCTAAATTTAGTCTGTTAAGTCCTCTGTCCCTTTAACTCTCACTGCAGTGGAGACTGTCCTTTCCAGATTGTAGTTTGGAAATAGTAACCAAAATTTCTATGTGTTTGGAACATTAAAACATCCCTTCCATAGCAGAGTCTCCCAACCAAGTGATTGAAATAAGGTCATATGAGAGGTCCAAGGCAGTTAGAGGTCTGGAAACACCTCTCTTTACCACTAATATTTAACATGCAAAGGAGTCAAATTGAGTACCTAGTATGAACAATGCTTACCTTGAGGAGTTGATTGTCCAGTCAGGAGAGGTTGATAGATTAATATATAATTTTAGAAGAATAAAGCTTGTTGTGTTGGGGTAAGCATGGAGTGCTAGCATAGTGCTAGGGAGAAGCAACTCTTTAGGAGTGTGAAAAGGCATCTTGGAAAAGGTGATGTTTGAGCTAAGTCTTGGAGAACAAGAAGAAGGGAAGTATTGAGGATAGAGTGGTGAGAGAAGATGGAGAATTTTAGATAGTGTGTGCTAAGAAGGCAGGGCACTGTAACAACACAGCATCTTTTGATGAATTTCATGGTAAATTGCAAGGTTGAGGCAGAGGGTGATGTGTCAGGGGAGGTAAGGCCAGGGACATGGAATTCACTTTTTGGAAGATCTTTTTGTCAGGCTCAAGTGCTTGGCCATTATCCCCTAGACTGTAAAAATGGAAGAAGAGAAGTAAGCAGAAATTCTGTTCTCAGGAAGTGCTAAGAGGCATGGAGAAGGAATGTTTTTAAGAATCCTTCAGTGATAAAGTCAGAAGGTTTCGTAGATGGGGTAGCAAAGCAGAGAGAAGAGTTCAGGCCACTGGGTGGGGACCCTTAACAGGATACCTGGATGAAAGGTGGATTCCAGCTGAAATGGGTAGCACTAGGGAACCAACAGGTTAAATGGTGAAAAGAAGAGAATGTGAAAATCAGAACATGTTTGTTTTAACAGAGTTTGAGGCACAGATGAAGCCATGTCTAGGAGGCGGCTGGATATAATAGTCTGAAGCTCAGGGAAAGTGAGGTAGAATTGGAGATAGTAGATTTGAGAGTCATTTCCATATAAATGTTAAATGATAAACATGGTTGTGAATGAGATTGACCAGGGAGCATGGGTAGAATAAAGATAATGTAAGTTGGGAATATCATTAGGAATTGAAGAGAGAGGGAGAAGTCCATGAAGGGACAGAGGATAAATGAAGAGGGAAATGAGTGGAGAATCAGGAGAATGTTTAAAGTTTCAAAACAGAGAGGTATGAACTACAGCATCACCCGCAGTAGAATGATCTAGTAAGGAGCAAAGGTTATCTTTGGATTTGCCAATGAAGTAATTACTTGTGGTCTGAAGGCAGCAGTTTCAGTGAGACGCTAGTGTTGGAAATTAGCTTACAGTGCATTGGCAGTGAATGAGAAGAGGTGATTGGAGACAGTAAGTATCCATGGGGATGGGCTTGGCTCAGAAATCAAGCAAGCTAGGGTAGTAGCTAGAAGCATGGCGGTCATGGCATACATGGGGTAACAGAGCAACTTAACAGTTGAGAGATGGAGCTGATAAGCATGAGGGGTTGGAAACAGAAGGGAGTAAGTCTGAGAGCACAAGGTCAGAATTGGGTTTTGAATCAGGAGTGACAGTTCATTCCAATACTTGTATAAAGGCATTAGCATATTACGGTTAGAGATTCAACCTGCAGGTGAAGGAGTAGAATTGTGGCTATGTACCACTGAAGATCTCTTCTGGAAACAGTATTTATTGTCCTAGAGACTGGGATGAAGAAGGAGGATGGACTGGAACTTGAGGAAAGTGAAAGTTTTGGCTAATTGCTGAGAGGCATGGATAAGGATGCTTATCAAGGTCATATTAAAGAATTTATAAGCACTCTGAGTGTGTGTTAGTCTTTGGTTCGTTCTTCCTGATGATGTAGTGTGTGAGGGAAGGAAGCAGAGTGTGGTGAGGGCCACTGGTGTCTTCAGCAAATGTTTATTGGGAATAACTATAATCAGAACTGTATAATTGTTGAGAGCAGAATTCCTAGAATCAAAAAGACCAATTTTTGATTCTTGGGACTACTGTTTCCTTACTGTATGTGTGACCTTGGGCAGTTTTCTTAACTATTTTTGTAAATAACTATTTTGTAAAAAATAGTTTTCTTAACTACTTTTGTAATTCACATACCATAGAATTCACCCCTTTAAAATATACCATTCAGGGGCCTCCCGGTGGCGCAGCAGTTGAGCACTGGGTTGCGAAGCTGCCCACAGCTTCTGCAGCGCCGGTTCGATCACCAGCTGCTCCCCGGCCACCACCAGAGGAGGGTCCCACATGGCGCGCAGACCTCTCCTGCCGCCCACTGCTCCCCTCAGCAGTGTACTTAGGTCCCTCTGCCTGCTCTGCTCCCCGCTCTTGCTCTGGTGAATTCTCTCACCCTCCCGCGCTTCTGACTGTACCCAGTGCTTGTATAAATCAATCAATCAATCAATCAATCAATCAATCAATCAATCAATCAATCTTTTAAAAAAAACTTTATAAAAAAATAAAATAAAATATACCATTCAATGGTTTTTATTATGTATGTGCAGAGAGATGTGCAATTATCACTACCACCTAATTCTGGAACATTTTTATTGCCGCAGAAAGAATCCCTGTACCTGTAGCAGGCCCCTCTCCCTGAGGCCCCTGGCGTCCTCTCATCTGCTTTTTGTCTCCATGGATTTGCTTATTCTGGTGTTTCGTATAAGTGGATTTATACGACTTGTGACCTTTTGGTATTGGCTTCTTTTACTTAGCATAATGTTTCCAAAGTTCATCTATGTTGTAGCTTAATAATAGGTGATTGTAAAGTGATTGTTTGGATATATTCTTAACTTCTTTAGCTTTTGTTTTTGTTTTCCTCTTAAACTGTAGGTTGTTGTAGGGATTAAATGAGATAATGTTTACTAGTTGGAACAGCACGGTGAATACTATGGCTTGAAGACTTAACTCCCAGTGTGACTCTAGTTGGGATAGCGCCTGTAAGGAGGTAATTAGGTTAAATGATGTCATGGAGGAGCCCTCATCTGAGAAGATTTTTTTTCCTGTTTTTATTTTTATTTTTAAAGATTTATTTATTTTTTTATTATTATTTTTTAATATTAATTTTTTTTTTTTACATCATTGTTCATTTTTAAACAATGTTTGCTTCCCCAAACCCCTCAGGTGCAGTCCCCATAGAGTTTCCTTCACCAATGCACCCGTGCACCATCACCTCAGTCCCCTGTGCTCCTCCCTCCCTCCCTCTGATCCCTCTCCCTCCTCCTCCCCTGCAGGATGTCTCTGATTTATGATTGTCCATTTTTGCTTTGTTGTGTTTTGTACTGTTATTATTTTTTACACTGATGTCTTATTGGGTTCCCCTATATTTCTGCTAAAAGTGAAACCATCTGATATTTTTCTTTTTCCTTCTGGCTTATTTCACTGAGCATAATTCCTTCTAGTTCCATCCATGTTGCTGTGAATGGCATGAGTTTATCTTTTTTGATTGCTGAATAATATTCTATTGTGTATATATACCACATCTTGATCCAGTCATCTATTTTTGGGCATTTGGGTTGCTTCCACATTTTACCTATTGTAAATAGTGCTGCAATAAACATAGGTGTACAGGGGTTCTTTTGAATCAATGTTTTTGTGTCCTTTGGGTAGATAGGATAAGTAAGTGTTTTTATAAAAAGAGACCAGGAGCTTGCTTTCTCTCTGCCATGGGAGGACACAGCAAGAGGATAGTGATTGGTGAGCCAGAGAGAAGGCTTCAAAGGAATTAAGTCAGCTAACCTCTTGTTCTTGGACTTCTAGCCTTCGGAACTGTGAGAAATAAGTTTCTGTTGTTTAAACTACACTGTCTATGGTATTTGTTATGGTACTGTAAGCATATTAGTA